TGTCTTGCCTGTGGTCCACAGGGCCCCTCCCTAGCAGCATAGGCACCAACTTTGCTCTGGGAGGACCATGACTTCTCCACTCTCAGTCCAGGTCCCTGTCCTCAAGGGAGGGGGACTCAATCACCTCAGGGAGGTGACCTGGGGGGTAGCTGAGGAGCACAGCCATCAGCCTAGTCGGGAGCCCCTACTTCTTAGAATAACAGATGGCAACAACATTCTCACCTTCATTTTAGGCCCCTAAAGTTGCCCCTTTCCTTCACAGGCCAGAAACGGAGTCAGATTTATATGTTTAGTCAGGTCAAGTACAAATGGGAGAAATAAAAACCTGACTTAGCGGTGCCATGGACAAGGGGGCTTGGGAGTTTGGCTCCTCCTGTATCACCCCTGAATGACCACTTCTCCATTTTATTTATTTACTTTTTGTTTTCTTTTTCTTTTTTTGGGGGGGGGTTATAGGCAATGGGGCTAAGTGACGTGCCCAGGGTCACACAGTTAGTAAGTGTTTTATGTCTGAGGCCAGATTTGAACTCAGGTCCTCCTGACTTTAGGGCTGGTGCTCTATTCACTGTGGCATCTAGCTGCCCCTCACTTCTCCGTTTTAGCCCAGGCTAAATGCCCTAAAATGAGGGAGCCAAGAGTCAGGAACAATTGGGAATCTAGATTTAGAGCTGGCAAGGACTGTAGAGATCACCTAGCCCACCTCCATACCCACTCCCATTTTTTCTCCATGTTCTGAGTGAAGGCTCATCTCCCTCTTGAAGAAGATGAAGGAATTAGGAAAACCTGTTCATGGTCCAGGTTGTTAGCAAGAGTGAAAGACTCCTAAAGGAAACGGATATAGAGGATTCAATGGGAAAAGAAGTGTCTAAGGTGGAGGATGGGACACCTATAGCAAGAGAGCTTAAAAACAGATCTGACGGTCTTCCTGAAGAGGAGGGAGCCAGGTGATCTGAGGAGGAAGGAGCTGCTTGTCCTCCCAAGAATGCTATAATAGAGCCTCAGAAACCACTGGGGGAGAGATCACCCTGAAAGGGGCAGAGGAAGAAGAAAAGAGCAATCAAAGTTGCTGAGTCCCTGCTGCTCCAGGGTGCTGAGGCAGCTGTTTGTTGACTTGATAACAACGATAGAAAGGCATAGATCCAAGACATGACAAAGAAACTCCCAAGACCTAATAAGCTGGATGACAACTACCCACCTGAGGTGATCCATGTGGGTACAAATGACTGCCAGAAAGAATGGAAAAAAGTATTACCAGTGATTAGGACATTTTGGACATGAAACTGGAGATCATCAGGACACAGGCTGTATTTTCTTTGTTCATCAAAGGCAAGGGATATCAAAAGAGAAAAATTAATTGGGGAAGTGAACAGCTGGCTAAAAGGTAGTATCTGAGAATTGGCTTTAGATTTATGAATCATGGCTTATAATAAAGGGTTGACAGATGCCTGGCCAGGGATAAAGTACACCTTTTGGAGGCTGGTAAGACTATATCTTTCAGCAGTCTCGCAAATCTAATTGAAGAGGCTTTAAACTAAAAATAATGAGAGAGGGAGAAGCCTGACTGTCTATATCTCCAAAGTCAGATACTATAGAGAGTAGTCACAAAGAAGGAAGACTAATAGTTCAGACACCCACAAATTCATAGAAACTAAAACCCAAGAACTGAACCTATGTCACCAAGTGTTTGTACACAGATGCCCAAAGTTTATTCACCAAATAAAAGGAACCAGAGCTCCTAATGCAAGGGAGGATATTTTACCTCCTAGGGATCCCTCGACACTTGGTGGAATGAAACCTATGGTTACACTATGGCTCTAGATGGGTGTGCCTTGTTCAAAAGAAACAGGCTAGGAAAAAGGGGGTGGCGTAGCACTATAAATTAATAAGGTACACTTGTGTGAGGAAATACAAGAATGAGAGGGTAGAGCATTTGGGTGAATGTCAACGCAGGGATAAACAGAAGTGATTGTGTCATTCGAATGTACTACAGACCACCAGGGCAGAAAGAGGAAATCGATGAAGGAAACAGATCATGAGGCTGGCACAGACATATGGTGTAGTAGTGAGTAGTGAGGGGGGACTTAAATTATCCAGACATCTGCTAGAGCTCTCTCTCTGCCAAAAGCAGAGGAGCTCAGCATTTTTGGACTTGCCTGAGGGATAATTTTGTCCTTCAAAAAGCGGAGGAACCAACGAAGGGATATTCTATTCAAACAGGGAAGGAGCAGGGAAGAAATGGCAGCAGGGCTGGAAATGATGGGAACCCTGGGAAGGGGCAAACACCCTATCCTAGAATTTGTGATAGAAGAGAGAAAATCTGTCCATGATCTGACAGGCCCCTTCCTTTTTGAAAGTAAATTTCAAAGAGATCTGAGGAGAGATGGGTGGAATCCCATGGAGTAACAGTCTGCAGGGGAAACCAGCCAGGAGGGATAGGAGACACACAACAATGGAATTCTGAACAAACAAGAGGAAATAATTCTAATGAGGAAAAAGAATAGGATTCATTTGAAAAGACCAATGTGGATGCATAGGAAACTTACTGATAAACTTAGATTGAAAAAGAAATGTACAGAAGGTGGAAACAGAGCCAGGTAACAAAAGATTAATACAAAAGCGTGGCACAGTCTTTTGAAAATAGTGTCAAGGTGGCACAGTGGATAGAGCACCTTGAAGTCAGGAGGACCTGAGTTCAAACCCGGCCTCAGACCAAACACTTGACACTTAGTAGCTATGTGACCCTGGGTAAGTCACTTAACCCTAATTGCCTTAAAAAAAAAAAGAAAGAAAATAGTGTCAAGAATGCTAAAGCACAGAATGAGCTGGGGCTGGTGAGGGGAGCAAAGCACAACAAAAAGGAGTTTAAAAAAATTATATCGGGAGAGCAAGGAGGAAGAAGGGATGGGACCTATGCTGGGGGTGGATGGGATGATGATAACTGCCCAGCTGTTCCATTCTTCTTTTCAAAGGAGAATGGCCTCCCCACACTGGAGGGGACAGAACAAAACTGACCATCAGAGAGCTGATCTCCAAGATAAGTAGGGAGAGGGTGTCAAGTCACTGGGCCCAGATGAACGCCCACCCTCAAGTACTGAAAGAACGGGCAGCTGTGGGCTAAGCCACAGTCCATGGCATGTGAAAGAGCCTGGGGAGTGGCAGATGGAATCTGGATTTTCACCAAAGGGAAGAGAACAGAGTCTGCAAATAAGAGGCCAATGATTCTTGGGGAAAGCTCAAAAGGATAATTAGAGAGATGGTTGCTGAACATCTAGAAAGGCAAGCTGTGATTGCCAAGAGCTGGCTAGGGGAGGCTGACCTCTGGCCTTTCTGTACCAGGTGCACAGTACTAGTAGATGAGGGGAATGCTATGGAGTTTACCTATGTTTGAGCAAAGCTTTGGAAAAAAAGCTCCTCATACTAATCTTGTGGAAAAGAGACAGAGATATGGACCTTTGGACAATAACGTTGGATTCAGAGCTGGTTTGCATGGCCTGATTTAGAGTAGTTGGTAATGTCTCACTGTCAATGGGCCAGCAGGTCTCCAGTGGAGTGCTCCAGGGATCTGTGCTTAGCTCTAAGCTGTTTCCCATTTTTGGTCAATGACTTGGATAAAGGCATTGATGATATACTCTTTGAGTAGGTGACTCAAAGGTGGGAGGGAGTGGTAACTCATTGGATGGTGGAGTTGGAATCCACAATGTTCTTGCCAGGTCAGAACACTGGGCTGAATCTTATTAAATTAAATTCAGACACTTTAAGCATCAAATCTTGTGCCTGGGGTGAGAAGGATCCATCCCACAAGTACAAGAAGGGCATGGCATGAATAGACAGCAGTTGTTTTGAAAAGGATCTGGGGGTTTTAGTGGACTACAAACTTCATATAAGTCAGCAATGTGTGATGTGGTGGCCAAGAAATTTAATAAGAGCTTGAGACAGCCAGGGGGCGCTACAGTACACAGAATGCTGGGCCTAGAATCAGGAAGGTGAGTTCAAATCCCGCCTCAGCCACTTCTGAGCTGTGTGACCCTGGGCAAGTCACCTCACATCTGTCTGCCTCAGTTTCCTCACCTGTAAAATGGGGATAATAATGGCATCTACCTCACAGGGTTGTTGTGAGGAGCAAATGAGATCATATTTCCCACAGTGGAATGGGCTGCCTCTAGAAGTAAGTAGTGGGCTCCCCTTTCTTGGAGGTCTTCAAACAGAGGCCAGTTAACTACTTGTGGGCTATGCTAGAGTGGTGCTTCCTTTCAGGTGTGGGCCGGACTAGAGGACTGCTCAAATTCTGTGATTCAGGGAGAGGTGATGTGACCCGCCCTCTGCCCCAAAGGTGTCCCAAATGACAGAGCCAGGATTTGAGTCCAGATTCTTTGAAACCAAATCCATGCTTTTCCCAAAGTGACACAGCGGCTGAGGACAGGAGTGGACATTAGTGCACATAATCACTGGCCCTGTAGAGCCTTGGGTGGAGGGGACCCAAACAAGCTGTTGTGACCCAGAGTGACTCCCACAGATGCCCTGGGGCAGGATTCTTCGGGGTAAGTCACTTAGACTTGGGGGGGCCTTGTTTCTCCTTCTGTATGACGGATAATACCAATACCTGCCAAACATGGCTGTTAGGAGCCTCAGAAGCCCATGCCGTGGCTAAAGCATTTCCCCAAAGTTGAGGACTGATGTAGACATCAGTTTTCATTATCAACGGACAAGATAGGGTCCATCCTGCTCCAGCAAATGTCTTATATGCCTAATGAGCCACAGGGATGGATGAGATGACCTCCAAGGGCCTTTCCAGATCAAAATGTAGGATTACTATGACTGGGGGGAGGAAAAAGAAGCCGGGGAACTTGCCGCTGGGATCCAGACCTCGCTAGGCCAGCCAGCCTCTCCCATCCAATAACTGTACGCCTCGTGGGCATGCAGTGGGGGAAGGTAGGTGCTGTGGTTCCCTTAGGGCTCCTGACAAGGGCAGGGGAAGGGGGCTTCTCAGGCCAGGCACCTACCTGCTTCCCATCCAGAGTATACAGCTTTTTGACCACTCCTGTCTCCAGTTTGATGGCTTCAGTGATGTCGGTGAGGACTTGCTCAAACGAGTGGGCGGTCTTCTTGTTCAAGAGCACCCGCACAGCCTTGCGGGGCTTCACCCCACTACGGATGATGGTTACGAGCTTAGGCCGAACAAAGTCCTTGTTCTCCCTGGCCTGGGCACTGTGGCTGCTGGCCAGGGACTGGGGAGCTTTCAGATTGGCTGAGGTCTTCACGTTGACCGACCAGTTGGGGTTGGCGTTCTTGGCATACTCCACCTTCTTGAAGAAATTGTCTGAGGAGCACACATAGCTTTCACCTAGAAGGAAAACCAGGAGGTCATGAAAAGCCAGAGATGCCAACAAATGGGTGTTTGGACCTCGCAGAGCCCAAGCTGATGGGCCTAAGAGAGCAAGTCCACTGGCAGAGATCTTACTTACTGGTCAAAAGTCACCAGCCGAATGTAGTTCAAGTGGCAAAGAACCACAGCCCAGGAGGGATAGGAGAGAGGGGCAGGGAGGGATGGAGGGAGTAAAGGAAGCAGGGATGGAGGGGATAAAGGCAGGATTAAGGGAAGGAGATAAAGAAGCACGGACAGAAGGGAGAAGTGAGAGCAAAGAGATTAGGAAGGAAGGAAGGGATGGAGAGAGGGAGGGAAGAAAGCACCCCACCCACCACCACCAGCAGTGGGGGTATAGTGGATAGAGCTCTGGATCTGGAATCAGGAAGACCTCAGCTCAAATCTGCCTTCAGACACTCGCTAGCTGTGCGTCTCTGGGCAACCTCTAATTACCTCAGTTTCCTCAACTTTCAAAATGGGGCTAACAACAAGAGCACCTACCTTGCAGGGATTTTGTGAGGATCCAATGAGATCATACTTATATAAAAGTTGATTCCCTTTCCCTTTCCCCCATAGAAGTCAACCCCTCCTTAGTCACTGCCAGTGGGCTTGTTTTGTCCTTCCTAGGGTCTGGCTTGCAGGGCTTCAGGGCCTCATCCCCCAATACGAGGCATTTGTGAAGTGCCTACTGTCTGCAAGGCCCTGTGCCAGGCTCTGGGGCTCCAAAGACAAAAGGAAAGGGTCCCTCCCTTCCAGGGGCTTCCGTTCCCCAGGATGATGCTAAGATATCACCCCATGGCCATGTGACTTATCTCACACGGACCCAGTCAGACTCTGCCCTAAGAAATGCCCTGTGGATATGACAGATGATAAGAACAAAGGGCCCTTTACTTCCACTCATTATCTCATTGGATTGGCCCAAAGCTTTGGCCCTGAACTAGATGGCATCTTCTAAGACCAGAAATAGGCCTCTCCTTGTATGTTAGCACCAAATCATCTGGATTTAGCTCGAAGCCATTGGCATAGATGCCACCCCTTAAGATCCAAGGAGACAAGGCCACTCTGCTGGGGACCTGATTATTCTGCAATCCCACAGGGGCCTGGCCCAGGCCCTTTGTGTGTGGCATAGTAGGAAGGACCCTGCATTTAGAGGCAGAGGAGTTGGATTCGAATCCTGGATCTGGGGCTGTGGGACCTCTGGAGTCTTCTTGTGTAATTAATGGGGGGGGTGGGGGGTGGACCAGGTGAGCACTATCCTGTGATCCTTTAATCCTTTATATTCTTTCCTCATTTCTGCTCTCTTTTGAGGTCTCCATGGCATATATTGACTGCACTTCGGGGGAGCCTGCAACCGAATTAACACTTGCCCAAGTTTCATTGGGAGGAGCTCCTGCTCATCTGCTTTGGGCCTGGGGCCCTTGGTGCTGACCTGTACATAGGGAGAGAGTCCCCCAGGCCTCAGAGGTAGCAGCAGCAGCAGCTGCCGCTGCAAATGGTGCCGACTACTTTCAGTGTTGCTGGGCAAAACCAGGCAGAAGGCCAAGCTTGTCTTGGGCACTTGCCCCCACTTGGGCTGTTCCTCCTTCCCCTCCTGGCCCAGCCTGTGGAAAAAATGCAACTCCTCTCCCTAGGGGAGTCTTTAGGAGGTGTTCTGCCAGAGGGGGCTGCAGGAAGGAGGCCTTAGTCTTGACTCAGGCTGGGGGAGTGGCTAATCTGGACCAAAATGCCCCCCCCCCTTTGAGCTCCCTGTGCAAGCATGGCCTTAGGAAGCGGCTACACCTTTCCACAGCTGTTTCCCATCCGGCCACAGCTGGCAGGGAATGGGCCCCTGGGGAGAAGGTTGTTAACCAGGAGAGAGGAAGCTCTGTCATGAGATGGCAGTGGGAGTGGGCCAGGGGCCGTTTTCAGGCCAACCTGCCTTTACCTCTGGGCTAAGTTCATGTCACAAGTTGGATAGTGTCTGAAGGAGGGTGACCAGATGAGGGCACAGGAAGGTTGGTTGGAAGCACTAGAGATGCTTGACCTGGACAAAAGATGTGTGTGTGGGGGGGAAGGGGGGCACTTTGGAGGGGGTGATCTCTTGGCTGGGAATTCCTGCTCAGGTTGGAATCAGTCACTTCTGAAAATTCCTTCCATCTCTGAGGTTTCATAATTCCTTTACATCCAGCACATCTGTACACATACATATACATCCATAGCTATCCCTTTTATGAAATGATCATCTCCATTACCCACATATGGTTCCCAGGTATCTGTTGGTATTGCCCTGTCTCAGCAGATAGAAGCCACCTTAACTGTGTGCAACAAAGGAGAGGTAGGAGGGGATATGAGTCAATGTCCCCAGGAATAGTGGGGGCAGTCAGTGCCACCCTGTCTAGACAGTTCTGTAAATAGGGCACAGCAGGGCAAATGTAGCCCCACATGCTCATGAACCATCCTGGAACCTACCTGATGGGTCTCATTTTAGCCCCAAGTCATACACAACCCCTAGCCAGACCAGGTGCTCACCGCCATCACTACCCACCAACACACAGCACTGGCTCCATAGCGAGGTCCTGTTCTTATCATCCATTGGCTAGGATTAGCAAAATTAGCAAACATAGGAATGACAAACTGTACTTCCAAAGGGCTTTCCTATCCATTCCCTCCTTCTAATCTCACAGCTGCTTTGGGCAAAAGGGAAGACAGGCTTGATGATTTTCATTTTGGAGGCAGAGGGCAGCCCCTGGTTAGCAGTACTCCTGATTCTTTGAGTCTGAGGAGGGAGGGAGGTAGGGAGGCTACAGAAAAGACCACTAACCAAATGGATGCCAGGGTTTCAAGTTAATTCAATCGAATGACAAGCATTTTATTTCTAAGGCCCTTTTCTAGGTACTGGGGCTACAAAGATGGAAAACTTTCCAGTCCCTGCCTGCATGGAGATTACAATCTAATGGGGTAGGGAATACAAGTCTACAAATAAGTGCCATACAAGGTGGGGTGTGATGAAGGGAAAGCTGGGATCCAGACAGGGTAGTCTACGAAAACTTAAGGAGGGAGAGATCCATTTCAGCTGGAGGAGAGGGCAGTCAGGAAAACCTTCCTGGAGGAGGCAGCTCCTAAGCTGAGCCAGGAAGGCAGAGAGGAATTCCACCAGGGAGCAATCACAGGCTTGTGGAACTGAGATGGTGTGAGGCAAGAGGGCCAATGAGGGGAACGGTGAGTTGTCTGGCTTGGTTGTAATATACAGTATGTGTGAAGGGAAGTAATGTAAAATAAGGGTGGGGCCAGGCTGTGGAGGGAAAACCTGGAATGTTAAGCTAAGGAGTCTGGCTTTTTCTGAGAAACAAGGAGAAATTACTGATGTTTAATGAGTGTGTGGATGGGGCAGGGGAAAGAGGGTGACATGGTCAGATTTGGGCCTTAGCAAGACTATTTTGGCAGCTAAGGGGAGGATGGACGGGAGTGGAGAGAGACTGGAGGCAGGGAGATCAACTGGGAAACTACCATAATAGTAAAGGTGTGAGGCAATGAGGGCCTGCCCCAGGGTGGTGACTGGGAGTGTGGAGGAGACAGAGTTGAGAGATGTTGGGCTGGGGTAGGACCATTTGGACTGGCAGCTGATTGGATGTCGGGGAGAAGGAAAAGGAGAGTCAAAGATGACTGAGGTTTTGTTTCTGGGTTAATGGTGACGGAAATAGGAAAGTCTGGAGGAAGCCCAGGTATCAGGGGAAATGAGTTTATATGGAACTGTTGAGTCTGAGGTGTAGGTGGTAGTGTTCAGTAGGTAATTATAAATTCAGTGTAACTTGTACTGGGGGCCAGGGAGGGGAGCATAGGAATGGAAGATCCTTGAGGACAGGAACTATTGTGTGTTTGTGTATCCCCACAACCTTCCACAGTGTTTGGCACATAGTAGGCACTTATTAAGTGCTTGTTACTAGAGAGGTTGGTTCCTTATTGAACAAGGCACAACCTGACTCAGCCCAGAAGTGCAGCGCTTTGATGTCAGTGCAATATTCTCACTTGATAGATGTTTAAGAAGGGATCCAGTTGGAAGGGAACCAGGAAGGAATCTCCAAAGTCCAGCTTTCCAAATCTGATACATCCTACACAGCAAAGCTCTGAAAAGCCTATAGACATTCAAAAGTCAAGTTCCCACCAGGCTGTAAACGTCCCTCCCCACCCTCCACCCCACCCTTATTGGCCCTCACAGTTAGCATTTGAATGCCTCCTATACATGAGGAGTTCCTTGGGGCTGGGCAACCACTATGTGGATGTGGACCCCATTATGTGAATTTCAGTGACCTTCAAAAGTCCCAGTGGAATGGAAGAGAAAGAACACTGTTTGTTATCCCTAACCCAAGCATCCTGGTGGGCTCTTTTGTCTTTTTCCATGATAATAAAAGACTTAGGTATTAGGGCACCATTGGCCTCTGGTCATCCTGTGTTTCAGCAGCTGAATGAGCCAAGCATGGGCCCAAGGTGGCTAGCCAGGCTCAACAATGGCTATGGGTATTGGCAAATCAACTCCAAGTAGATTCATTTGAGACCAAGGGACTCTTCAGGAAGCCCCACAGCAACTAGGAATGGGGGAGTGGAGAAGGGGTCCAATATGGCCAGTGCCAAAGGACCCAAGAGGCCAAGCTGCAACCTTTTCACCCTGGCATTCATCATCAATTATCCACCCTGAATTATGCTTGTTCATTCCTACCTCTACCATTCCAAGGGTCTGATTGGTTCCTGAACAGAGCATTTTACAAAACAGATACTTCCACCAGCAAATGTAACCATTCAACATTCCTCCCACTGCAGGCCTGAGGAAATGCTGGCTAAGCCCCTGATGCCAATATTAACCTTCATTGAGTGCTGCCCTTCCCACCATAGGAGCGTCCCAAAAACACATAGAGCAATGGAAGGGCTGGCAACTTAGAGTACCTTGGGTATGGAGTGGATTCCAAAACATGGAGATGCAGTCACGGAGATGGATGACAATGCATGGCTTGTAACTGAATCGCCTTCACAATGATGACCCCTAGCCTTTGGTGACCAGAAAGGCCATTCCCTTCACATGAGCTCAGACCTTTTGCTGCTGATCACCTAGGGGAAGTCAGGACTTTAGCCTTAAGGCCTAGGCCCAAGAGCGACAGGGAGGTTCTGGGGGCACTCTTTTCTTTCCTTTTTTTTTTTTTTTGGTGAGGCAATTGGAGTTAAGTGACTTGCCCAGGGTCATACAGCTAGGAAGCATCAAGTGTCTGAGGCCAGATTTGAACTTAGGTCCTCTTGACTCCAAAGCTCTATCCACTGCGCCACCTAGCTGCCCCTCTGGGGGCACTCTGAAAGTCAGCCAAATGAGCTGCTTTCTATTTGAAGGTACCAGGCTAGGCCCTGCTGGCTTCTCAGAAATTCCCAGTGCCTTGACTCTTTCCTCAGAGAAAACCTGTTCCATTCTCCCCACTGGTTGGGCATTTCCCCTTGAAGTCTGTATCTGGACAAAGTGATGAGTTCAGGTACAGTCCTGGTTTAAACGGTCCCTTTGAATCTGTCCTCTATAAAGGCACATTGCTAAGGCAGAATTAGAGAAACTCTCCTCGCTCCTGCTGCTCCACCCCCACCCCCCACCCAATCTTTGAACCCGTCAATGATTGAGTAAAGTCCATGCTTCTTGGCCTGGCATTCAAGGCCCTCTATAAGAGGGCTGTCATCTGCCTTTTCACTACTCTCTCCCATTTATTTTGCATTTGAGCCAAGTTGGACTGCACTTGATTCCCTGATCTTGTCCTGTCCATTAGCCACACTGCCCCCCATGCCTGTGTCACCTGCTCTGTTTGTTGAAAGCCAAGGTTTAGCTCAGGAGCCACCTCCTCCATGAAGCCTCCCTGATAGCTCCCTTCTCAAATTGCCCCTGGCACTTTGCACTGTGCTTTCTACTTCTCTCATTCTGCCTTGTATTCATTTCTCTAGGTCCATATGTTATCTTCCCAGCAGGCTGTAAGCCTCTTGAGGGCAAAGACAGTCATTTTCCACCTTTGGATCCCCAGGAAAGGACACAGTGCCCTGTACCTAGTAGGCACTTACATTCTCTGCTCTTGAATCTCTGACCCTCTTGTCCTGTTTCCATTCTCTTTCTGAGCCTCAGTCCTGGGTTCCTGTCACCAGTGGCCTTCTCTATTCCCACCTAAGTTACTGAAGGACCATGTTGACTGTGTCTATTACAAAATCCAGCTTCAGGATGTTGTCTAGCCTCACCTGGGCCCTCACTGCAGCAAGGCAGTTCTTTCATTTCTCTCTAGTTGATTCCCTCTCTCACACCCCACAGAAGCTATTTCAAGCCCTCTCTTCCTTCCTCAAGCCCCTATACCACCACCTCCTCCCTCTCTTAGCTGAGGACTTTGTCTCTTACTTTACAGAAAAAAATTGAGGCCATTTGCCTTGAGTTTCCTCTTCTCCCACTCTCTTCATCTCCAAATCCCTTGACTTTGTCTCCCTATCTTTCTTCCTTTCCTCCAGTCTCTGACAAAAAGGTCACCCTTCTCTTTGCCAAGGCAAACTCCTATATAGGCCCTAGATCCTCATACCCTTACTTCTTCTAGCAGATTGCCTCTCAATCATCTCTCCCCCCCAAATCTTCAACCTGTCCCTATCAACCATTTCCTCCACCAGGGCTTTCAAATACGCCTCAGTCTCTGTCATCCTTAAAAATACCTTCACCATGCTGACATTCCCTTAAGCTATTATACTATATCTCTCCTCCATTTCCTAATTAATCTGCTTGGAAAAAGGTGTCTACACTTCACTTCCTCTCCTCTCCCCCGATTCTTCAACCCTCAGCAATCTGGTTTTCATTCAACTGAAACTGCTCTCTCCCAAGTAATCAATGATTTCTTAATTGGCCAATCTGGGCATCTTTTCTCAGTTCTCATCTTTGACCTGTCAGCTTCCCGCCTATGTGAAGCTCCTTGTCAGTCTCTTTTGCTGGCTTGCCAGCCACATCTTGCTTCCTAACTGTGGGCGTTGCCATGGTTTCCATCATGTCCCCTCTTTTCTTCTCCCTCTACATTTTCTCTCTCGCTAACCTCATCCGCTGCCGTGGGTTTAGCCATCATCTTTCTGCAGATGCCTCCCAGATATACCTACGTATCCCATCCCCATCTCTCCCTTGAACTTCAGCCCCATGTTAGAAATTTTGAACCCGATGTCCCAGAGACATCCTAAAGTCAGCATCCCTAAAGCTGAACTCTTTGTCTTCCCGCCCTCCCGCCCTCCCCTCTTCTAAATGAGCCTATTTTTGTCAAAGGCACAATCGTCTTTCCAGTGTCTCAGGCTCATAATGTCAGCATTATCCTGGATTCCTTTCTTTCACCTCCTATATCTAATCAGCTTCCTCATCCTGCCCTTTGTACCTTCGCAATGTCTCACATCCAACCCCTTCTCTCATAGCGACCATCTTTGTTCAGGTCCTCATCACTTCTCCCCTAAGTTACTGCAGCAGCCTCCTAAGTCTCCCCCTATTCCACTCCGCCCTACTCACTGCAGTCAAAGTGATTTTTCTTAAGGGCAAATCTGAGACTCTCCTGCTCAGTCAACTCCAGTGGTTTCCTTTTGCCTCTAGGATAAAATATAAGCTCCCCTCTTTAGCTTTTAAAGACATACACAACCTGGTGCGGTAGAGTCCTTGTCTTTCTTGAAGACACAGGTCAAACATCATCTTCCCAATGAAGCTTCTCCTGGTACTCCTCCCCCTCCCCCAAATGCTAGTATTTTACTGCTTCGTATATATTTTCACTTTATGTTGATGCTGTATATGCTTACATATATACTAGTTGCCTTTCCCATGAAGATATAAAGTCCTTGTGAATATACCTTATTTCATTCTTTGTCTTGTAGATCCAGGGCATAGAACCCTGTCTGGCACACAGTAGATGATTAATAGACACTCAAGGATTGACTGTTGAATTGAACTGTTTCCTCAAATGGTCACAAAGAAAGCTTTTGAAGCAAGCAAGCTTTATTCAAAGGTAAACCCAGTATTTCCCATTTTTTGTTGGGTGGGCGGGGCTGCCTGGGATGTCTTAGCCAGTTAGTAATGCAAGCTGTTGAGAGCCATCAAAATGTGCTCTTAGGCAGAGCCCCGAATTCCAACGGGAATTCAGCTGGTGGAGGTCAGGTGCACCAGTTCTATCTTAAGCAGAACAGACTTAGTGAAATGCCAGGCATAGCCAGGGCTTTTGGTGGCATTTCTACAGACTGTATATAGCACATCAGCTTCAGGGACACACCCTGAGGGGGCTTTTTGTAAGCTATAAGTGAGCAGAGAGCCAGCCCACAGCCGGTGCAGGGACTGACCCTGCACGTATGCAGAGAGCTAAATCCAGAGGTGGAGGAAGAGGGAGATCAGTCACAATCAGGGGTTAAATAACACTTTCAATGAGCCCAAGCTTTGCCTTAAAACCAAAAACCCTTTTTATAGTACCAAGATGCCATGTAGTGGCTGCTACAAACCACAGAACACCCCCATGATCTCTAAAGACTCAGAATTATGGGTCACTCAAAAGGCAATAGAGAGACACATGATGGGGGGGAGGGAGTTAATGGCCTGCAACTTACAACCAGTAACAAATGACACCCAAAAAGTCACACAAAAGGCATTGTCAAAGAGGTATATGGCTGGAAAGGGAGGCGGACAGATCAGGTGACCAGAGTGAGAAATAACTGATACACATGCTAAGAATGGCACTGGTATCCACAGAATGCTAAGAGGCCCATGGCAAGGGTGCCAGCATATTGGATGAATCTCCTACAGAGGATTCTGAGAGTACCTGAACAAGAGGCCCACAGGATGAGAAGGCGTAACTTAGGTGAGCTCTGCACCATTGGAGAAAGTACCTACATCGGTGAATCTCAGAAGCACTGAGGATAAGCAGTGACACTTCACCTGAGAGGGGGACCCTTTGATAAGTCATCCCAGGCATTGTTTCCATTGAGGTATCTCACAAAATGGCACCCCATTGGAGTTAAAGGGGACCTGGGCGTACTAACACTTTTGTGGTTCACATGTATGATCCCCACCATCTACTCTTCAACAGAACCTTGGAATTCCAGAGCTGAAAAGGATCTTAGATGTCATTTAGGCCAATCCATACCTGAAGTGGTAATGTTTATGATATCCTCTACAAAGGGTCATCTAGCTTCTGCTTAAAGGCCTCCAGTGACAAGAATCAGCTCTAGCTTCTGAGGCAGTCCATCCCATCACTGGACAGCTCTAATGGTTAAGAAGCCCAGTCTAGGTTGCAGGCATGAAGTGAATGCCATTGATGCCTATGGCATTGATCTTCAGACAGACCTTCCACTTGACCACCCAGATTTCCCCATCTTCTTCTGGAGAGATAGAACCTCAACCCCAAGGATCATTTCCCACTAAATGCCATGACCCAAGCATCATGGCCTACTAGAAAGAACATTGGAGTCATAGGACCTCAATTCCACACTTGGCTTTACTACTTAAAGGCTGTGTGACCTTAAGCAAGTCCCTTCCCCTCTTTGGGCCTCATTTTACCCCTCTATAAAATGGGGGAGATGGACTAGATGAGCACAAAGTTCCTTTCCAGCTCCAGATCTAGGGCCATCTGATCTTTTGCTACAATCCCCAGGACGGCTGAGTTACCTTCCTCCAGCTCATCCATGCTCCCGATTTTGCGGCCTCCATCGATGGTATAGATGTAGCGCACCCCCTGGGGGAGGTTGATATTGTCGGACAGGGAGCGGGTCAAGTCAGCCAGCAAGGCATCGAAGCTGCGGAAGCGGTCAGTGGACACGGCGTACACGATGCCCTTGAAGTAGCGGTCTCCGTTACGATAGAAGCGGACCTTCTTGGCCTTCTTCTCATTGCTCAGAGCCTGCAAGGTCCGGGTCCGGTAGAAGCTGCAGTGGGCACTGTGGGTAGGGCTGGGAAGCCCATTCAGCCGGGACCCTCGCATGTTCCTGGATGCCTTATCTCTTTCGTCAAAATGTCCAAAATCCAGTTCCATATTGTGGTGGACCTCTGAGACCTGAGGTGGACAGAGTGGGTGGGTGGGGAAGAAAGGGGAGAGTGCAAATGTTAGTCAGGCCCAGGCCCCAACTCTAGGAAGAGGTCTTGGCCTGTGACCCCTTCCTTGTTCTTCTCCCTTGGTCTTTCAGGAGCTTTTCGGGGAGGGGAATGGGGACCCCCTTGGACAGTGTTTCAAAGAGAGAGAAGCTGTTCACAGCCCCAGCCTTTCTGGCAAGTGGCTCATATCAAGTTGAAATTCCAGGCAGATGTTCAGGGCCCCACCCCACCAACAGCTGTAGAGTAATCCACACCCCCAGCTCAGTTTCTCAAGGACAGAAGGGTCCCTTGTCTTGAGTGAAGGAAGTAGTCTCTCAGAGGGATGCCCTGCTTTTTCTCACCCCCCCCCCCAATGCTATTCATGGCATGCTCCCCCAGGATGTGAGCAGATCTGCCTGGAAAAGGGACATTCCTTGGAGAACAGGCTCGGCCTTTGTGCTGGTGGGCTGGGCACACCCTCTCCCCTAGTCTGCCTGGCAATTGCCAAATCCCACTGACATTTCTAGGCAATGGCTGGGAATCAGGTTTAGGGGAACACTGAAGGGATTTCACTGGAAAGCATCATTGCACACCTTTCATTGTTCTGAGCACCAAGTAATAAGCAGTGGCTGAGTGATAGAGATCTGGCTTCTGGACCACCCCCCCCCCTCTTTGGGCAAAGCCTGGGTCAACAGCCCCCCAACCCCCAGACACACACCCACACCCACCTCCCCCAGGACCCCTTCCCATAGGTCCTAGAAAAGGCTGGCCTCTTCAAACCTCCTTGGAGGCCAGGAGAAAGGAGCAGGTAGAGGATGGAGCTGGGTTGCTCATGGAGCCCTGGGGACTGTGGAGGGGGTCGGGGGTTGGCAGGTGGGGGCTCAATTGCACCCATCCCCCGTAACCCAGGGAGTCGGGCGGGGGTGCTTAGCATTATCTCCCCCCACCCCTACAGCTCATCACAATGCAAAACGCCCCCACCCTTCCCACTCCTCAGGAACCCTGCCCCCCCCCCGACCTGATGCCCCCCCCCTTTACTCGTCATCTTAAACTCACGTCCCACCTCCGCGCGCTACAAACAAAGAGACAGCCAACTCACTTTTTCCACAAGAAAATCCCAGGTAGAAGCTGGGGGGTTTGCAATCCTGACAGAATGAAAAGGGAAGGAGAGAGACCCCCCGGGCGGATGGAGGGATGAGGGACACAAAGGGACAGCCAGACAGGACAGAGAAGACCAACACACCCGCAGCTTTTTGCCTCGTGCTTCCCCCCTCGGACATCTGCTGCACGCTGCCGGGAAGGAAAGCAGCGCGCGCAGGGAGCCGAGCCGCACTCACCAGGGCTGGGCTGTTGGGTGGAGATGCTGAGAGAAAGAAGCCCTCAGCCTTTGTTGTCTGAGCTCCGAGCGAGGAATTCCTGCCAGGGTGGAGAGATGCCTTCTAGGTCCTAGTGCCTTGCCCAACTGCTCCCCAGGAACTGGGGCCCGCTGATTCTCCCCTCCCCCCACCCCTGCTTAATCACATCCTTTTTTGATTTTTCCCCAGGGAAAGCTGGGGAGAGACCCACTCCCACTCAAGCTGTATTCATTAATGAATAGCTGGAAAGGCTTTGCTTTTTAAACCAACGGGAAATACTAGGGGATCACAATGCTGGCCCCAAATTTGAGGGAATACCGGTGTTGGCCTTGTTAGTCTTGGGGGGGGGTGGATGGGGGGGTGGGCATGGAATGAGAAACATTGTTGGCCACATGGAGACCTAATCTGCCTTGGGGGGGTAGGGTGGTGTCCCTCATCCCAAATTCAGCCAAGCCAAGCTTCAGAAAATCTCTGCTCATAACCCTTGGGGGAGGGGCAGTCAAATTGTCAACGCCTTTTTGCCCCTGAGGCTGACAAAGGCCAGTGGAGCAAGAGAAGGGGCAGTGGGATGGAGATGTGGGAAGAGAAAAGAAGAGTGAGTGACCGTCCCACTGGAAAGGTGGTCCAGAGAAGCCTGTAAAGAGGCTGCCAGCTTTGGGGTAGGATTTTGGACATGCCATCTGTGGTCTTTTACCACAATCCCCATGCTGGCAACCACATTAGTGGAGAGTGTGCACTTGTGGTCACAGCCTAGACAAGGAAGAAGAGTAGAAAGAGCACTGAGCCAGGGGTGAGGAGGCCTGGGTTTGAGCTTGGAAGACAAAGACAGCTTCCTGCTTTGTCTCTCCCAGTTAGATGAATGGGAGAAATCAGCAGGGTCACATTCCTGGCCCTCAAAACTTTAGCCTGTTCCAACTGCAGGAAAAATCCAGAAAGGAGACACCTACATCCCTTGCTTCTCTGGTGGCTAAGACTTTTTTGGATACTGGAGAATGTAAGTTGGCCCGAGAGCAGCTGACCCTGGAGTGAACTTGAGGCCCTGAGCTCAGCTGACAAAATGGCTCCAGAAAACAGGAGGAAGGGCTTTCCTTTGTGAGAGGTAAAGTCAGAGCCCTGGGTAAAAATAGCACAAGATAGCAAAGGGGGAGGGGCTTTAGGAAGGTCACAGGAGTCTAGATTCCTAAAGATTAATTAATCTAGTGCTTTCATGTTACAGGGAAGGAACCAGAGGTCGGGAGATAGACCCAGAGGTCAAGCCAGGGCTGCCTAAGTCACCTTGGACAGGTAAGTGACTGCAAAATGAGATGGGTAAATGAGGGAGCAAAAAACTAGAAAGACATTGATGATTATTGTCGCCATTTTATGAAAATCAAGTGACTGGCCCAAGGATAGATCGTAGAAGTAGTGTTAGGTGGGATTTGAACCCAAGTCTTCCTAATATCTAGTCTAGCTTTCCAGGCGCTGTGCTTCACTGCCTGTACAATTCTTGTCCATTCCCTCTCAGAAATCTTGCCAGAGCATCTAGTGCCTTATGATGGTCCCTGGACATCAGTGCAGCACTGGAGCTATCCATCTGTTTTTGTTCACTCTTTATTGCATGAAGGCTCTTCTTTTCCGAGCAACGCATTCCCTGGATGATATCATCTGCACCACTCCTTGCAATTGAGTCCTTGGTAACATGTACAAGCTGATCTGCCTCACCTGGTATGTTTCCCCATTGCCCCTTGCATCACCTATAGTTGTGATTCTTTGGTGGCCAAACAGAGGTATCAGAAGATCATTGGTGTTAGAGGTAGGTTTTGGTGACAGGATGCAGCGTGGCATGATGAAAAGATCTGCACAATTTCCCAAATGCAGCTGAGCCTGCTTCCTTCTTCCTAGGCACAATTCTGGGCAAAACTCATTGTCTATCTGCATTGTATATCCAGCCAGGCAGTCAGCAAACAATCTGAAAGGCACTGTGCAACGTGCCGGGGACACAAGGACCAGCAAAAACAGTGCTGACCTCAAGAAGCCCACAATCTAATGGAGAAGACAGTATGCAAACAACCAAGTCCAAACAAGATGTAGACAGGATACACTGGAGATGGCCTTGGAGGAAAGGCAACAATGTTGAGAAGGACTAGGAAAGGCTTTTGTAGAAGGTAAGACTTTAGCTGAGACTTGAAGGAAGCCAGGAGGCAAAGATGAGGAGGAAGAGCATTTTAGGCAGAGGGGACAGCCAGAGAAAATACTCAGAGCCAGGACATGGAGTGTCTTGTGGAAGGAACAGCCAGGAGGCCAGCGTCACTGGAGAGGAGTAGTGTTAAGAACATTGGGAAGGTAGTGTTGCAGTATGAGAGGTTGAGAGGTTGTGACCCCTCAAAAACCAGAGTACAGGCTGGGTTGTCTGGAATGAATTCACACACTCAAGCATTCTTTAATTCGAGGTGGCAAAGATTTATTATACTTTTCAGTGGGCAAGGATTCTCAAGGAACCTGTGAGAGACTGAGGATGGAGCTAGGGTTTATATGGAAATGGGCATGGGAAAGGAATGCCAGGGACACTGATGAGGTAATCCAAAGGTGCAGGCATCTTTGAGAGCTATGGATGAGAAAGTACAGGGAGTATACTGGACAGGGAGGGAGATGACAGAGGTATGGATCTTTGAAGTCTGGCAGGAGGAAGAGTCCTTGGGCTGGCCAAGGACAAAACTCCTTGGGCTGGGCAAGGCACCCCTCTCCCTCTGTCTTGATGAGAGAATGTTCTGTAACAAAGGAAAGCTTTCTCACAAGACAGGAGCTTACCAAGGAATTGGGAGGCTTCCAGAGATGTGATCTGAGGGCTGGGGCCTGAGCAGCCTAGCACTCTCTCCCCCAGCTTTGCATAGCTGCACCAGGGACAGAGATAAGGGTCCTGCTGGGGCCCATGCATGAATAACTGCTAGGCACAGCGTCCTTGGGCTGGGGAGTGGTTGTCAGAGACACGGTTTCTGAGACTTGGGGTCCAAGTTACAAGTACAAGCGCCCAAACATAAGCACCCAAGCACCCCATCAGTAGCAAGGGGCCATGTTATGAAGGGTTTTAAAAGCCAAACAGAGGATTTGCATTTGATGCTGGAGGTGGTAGGGATCCCCTGGAGTTTATCGAGTGAGTGTATATGTGTGTGTGTGTAGGGGGGTAACGTGATTGGACCCATGCTTTAGGAAAATCACTCTGCTGAGTGGAGTTTGGACTGGAGTGAGAAGAGACTTGAGGAAGGGAGACCAACCAGCAGGCCATTGCCATAGTCCAGGTGGGAGGGAACGACACTTAGGTTGTGAGCCTGGGTAACTGGGAGGATAATGATGCCTTTATAGCTGCTGGACCAAATTGTCCTCATCTGCCCATTCCACCAGGGGAAGTCTTCACATGCTCGTGGTAGATACCCCCTAATTTACTGATGGAGTTTGAGGCCTGTCAGTTACTCTCAACCTGGTTTAGCTGTCTGCCAAGATGGTTTTTTACCAGGGTGTGGCCACTGCACATGCTACAGTTTCTTGGAGCCACAGGTGAGAGCCAAGTGACCGGTTGGACACCAAAAGTGGATGAGTTAGAGTGGTCAGTTAGACAAGTAGGAGGAGAACCAGAAGAGAGCAGTGTCACAAAAACCTAGAGTGGAGAGAGCATTAAGGAGAAGAGGGTGATTGACAGTGTTAAAGACAGCACAGAGGTCAAGATAAGGATTGAGAAAAGGTAAATTTGACAAATAAGAGATTATTGGTGTCTTTAGAGAGAGCGTTTTGAATTGAAGGACAAGGTAGGAAGCCAGACTGCTGATGGTTTAGAACAGGATGAGTGGAGAAGCAATGGAGGAGAGATGGAGGAAAAGAGCTTTCTCAAGGAGTTTAGCCAAGAAAAATGAAAGATGTAGGACAATAGCTAGTGGGGATGGTTGGATCAAATGAGGGTTTTAAAGGATGAGGGAGACATAGACATACTTCTTGTTTGAATTCAATAGACTGCCTATCCAGCTGCATGGCATATTCTGAACAATAGACAGCCTTCATCCAGCTGCTTTTCCCCATATGATCTTTTCAGGTTCATCTCTTTTGAGTGGTAGCATGTGGGTCTATCGAGCTGGGCCTTTGTGCTCTCTGTATCTTCCTTGAAATCAGTTGTGTGACTGGAAAGAGATGGCCTTTTGTAAGAAATCCTTCGTGAAAACCAGCCCGTTCACTTCTTCAGGGATGTCCTTGGTGCATGTATAAGGCATTCTCCTAAAAGTGCTCGAAGGGTTCAAGTGGAGGCGCATGGGTCAGCAGTTAGTCATGGCCTCCCAGTCACCTTTTCTTCTTTTGGGCAGTGATGCCATCTGGGTATTTTCCCGTCATTTGGCATCTCCTTTTTCAAATATCATAAATCGATCCCTCAACACTTTCAAAATTGTGTTGCCCCCAGCACAGATCCCTTCTGTGTGTGCATGTTTTCTGGTCCATCTGCTCTTTCCTGACTTCATTTTCTTAGGCCTCTTTTCCATTTCATTGGCACATCAGGGACTGAGGTGTCAGAGTTCAAATGTAATGGATGAAAATAGGTTGCTATTAAGATGCTGGCAAATTTGGTCCATTTTTTTCACCTGCTTGTTGCTCACTCATTTCCTTGTTTCATGTCTAAATGCTCTTGGGCTTCATTGGGCCTCTGCAGAAGTTTTTTCCCCTCCATAGCTTTTTTTTTTCTATTTTATGAGGTGACAGACTTGTAATCTTCCACCATCCTCTTCCGTACCATTTTGTAATTGAGTTTATATTCTACACTAGTGTTGCCCTTGGCAGCCACGTCTCTCCACTTGGAAAGGAGATCAAGCATTTGTTGGATGCGGTGGTTTCTGGGCTCTTTGGCCCCCCTTGTGGTGCCAA